ACCTGTTTGTTTCCTCTCCACCTATCCTCTCCTCTATCCCTCTTCTATCCGCCTCCCACTCTCTCCCTATTTATTTCAAAACCCCCTTCCCCTCCCCCTTTTCTGATGAAGGGTCTAGGCCCGAAACGTCAGCCTCTCTGCTCCTATGATGCTGCTTGGCCTGCTGTGTTCATCCAGCCCTGCACCTTGTTGTCTCGGATTCTCCAGCATCTGTAGTTCCTACTATCTCTAAGAGGATAGTATTCCCTGATTAGGTCTTGTAGATGGTGAAGCAATCTTTGGTAAGTCAGGAGGTGAGTTCTTTGCCTCATGATTTCCAGCCTAAAATGTGTTCTTGTGGCCATAGTATTTATATAGCTGGTCCAGTTAAGTTTCTGGTCAATGATAAACCCCAGGTAGTTTATTGTGATATATTCAGCAATGATAATGTCATTGAATGTTCAAAGAGAGATGGTGAGATACAGTTTTGCCAGTGATGGTCATTACCTGACATTTGTGTCACTTAAAAGGAAGGTACAAAACCACAAAGGTATTTTAAGTATGAGAGTTTTAAAAGTAAGGTGTTGCCTAACTAGGAGCATAAAGTTAGTGAGTGAACATGACTTAGTGCAGGACCATATTGAATATTCTCAATTTACCAAGTGTGGAAAGTGGGAGCCAAAAAGACAGGTAATTGAGGAATCTTAAATACCCAGAAAGTGGTGGAGAAGATGGAATTTGTTACCATATAGAATAGGTGAGGTGAAGGATATTGGTGGATTCAAGGGGGAACTTTAGAAGCATATGAGGGAGAAAAGAATAGAGTGTTAGGCTGATAGAGTTAAGAATAGCAAGTTACTTGAATAAAGCATAGGGCAAAATGTTCCAGTCTAACAGGCAGTGCACCTGGAGGTGGGAAGCCAAGGTAACTAGGTGAGGTATTGGTGTCACAGAACTTGGCGTCTTCCCACCTCCAGGCCTAAGTTACATTCTTCATGTAAAGGCCCACGCTCAACCTTCACCCGCATCCCCTACCATCTCCAATTGAGGCCCTGAAGTGATAATTTGATTACAAGCTTATTCCTGCCTGGATCACCATTATTAGAACACCAGGTGGGACAAATAAGGGGTGTTGAGCCAGTATAGCAGCTTGTAAGTTGGCAGAAGGTGAGTCTTGATCTCCTCTAATTTATACATGATGGAGGGACTGGATATAGAACATAGATTGGCTGTTGAGGGCCATACTCCACTCTTGTTCCTATCCTCTCCTGACTCTGCTGTGGTCCTTGTGATCTTGATTGTCCTTCTGGCAGCTGTCATGGCCTCCTTCATGATGCTGATAAATGAAAGAGCTCTCTGCTGGCTGGCAGCTCTCCTTGATCAATGAGTATTTTGTTCCTGGGGAGTTGATTTCAGTGAAAAGCCTGTGATTGCCCATTAAACTGTCTGGTTGAAAGCAGATACAGTAGGATTTCCTCTGAAGAGTTAGCTGAGATGCATCTCCACTTTTTGAACAAGTGAGAAATCCAACAAAAATTGAAGGTTTTGCCTGTAGACTGCTATGGTTGAATGACCTGCTTCTGTCCTATGTAATTGAAGCTTTTTACACTGTTTTCCATACAGGGAGCAAACTGCAACGAATATCGGTAAGTAAGAAATTCAATAAATAATTTGCTTTCCCAGGAATGGTTATGAGTTACACAGCTAAAATCTAATTTTGCCAATATTTATAAATTATTATACATAATTGTAAAGGGTTATACAGTTAGCAGGTATTTTTTCCCATGCAGTTTGCAAGGGTTTGGTAGATAGTAGATAAGTCTGTAATATTATAGTCTTGTATATATTTAATGTTGTAAATAAATTTTAGATATCTGGCTCAAGAAGAACCTCTGTTTGGTAAATGCAGACTAGCATGTAATAAACCACAAAATGGGATCATAGTGGCAGTATTTGGGTACTAGAAGATGATAATAACAAGTCTACTTGAGAAGTTAGTTATGATAACTAGTTAGTGGGAGTGCGTGGATATTAAAGGCCCAATATAAAATAAATAAAAAGTCATTTTGTCTAATAATTTATCCATCAATCTGTCTTAGCTCAGAACTGCATTCAACAAATACAATCAAATATAAAAGCTCCAAACCTGTACTAAAACACCATTAACAACTTCCTTGTCTTCTGCACTGTCAAAAGTATAAAAATAACATTTTCTAACACCTTTCAGTTCTGAAGAAGAGTCATATTGGACCCAAGATGTTAACTGTTTCTGTTTCCACAGATGGTGCCAGACCTGCTAAGTTTCTCCAACATTTTCTATGTTTGTTTGAGTTCTTTACACCTTTCTCTTTAAGAAAAGAGAAAAAAACAACTTGAGAGGCTACTGACCAGATTAAAAGAAATAACTTTTCAATAATCTTGAAAGGACAGCTCAAAAGTGCCCAGAGAAGAAAATGCAGTAAAACACTAAAAACAATAAAAACACTAAAAAAAAAGTTTTCTCAGAAAGGCTTACCTGTGTCTAGATGTTGATACATTTCACTACTTTACCTTTCCAAAATGAGTGCAAAAATAAAATAAAAGCCAGTGTGATGTCATCATTCCATTTGTGGTGTGATTGCCACAAATACCGGGAATTCTTAAAGGGGCAGATAAATAGAACCAATTGCAGAGTAGCCAATAAAAACATAGAAAAGTAAACTACAGCTGTATACATATTCTTAAATTGACAATTTAAAAAGCATAAACGCATAAAGATACAAAATAAGAATGGAAAGCAAACATCTAACCATCGATTGGCACACACTTGACATTCTGTCAGAACTTCCTGCTATTCAAAGAAAATAAGTCTTTATTTTCTGGATCAGCAGACAACTGAAACCAATAGCAGGATGTCAAACTTCTTCTCATTTGGTTGCTGAAATGCTAAGAATGTAATTTTTTTGGTATTTCTGCTAATGGCCACAAAGATTCTGACAACATTTTTTTAAAATTAAAGTTGAGTCAATTTCAGGATATATAGACTTGAGTTCATTTCATGCTGACAAAAACAGGTGAAACAATTTACTGATTTGTAAGTGGAAGTTGATGCAAAGGTATAGAATATGATTTTACTGGCCTTCACTGAGCTCAAATCCTTACAAAACTGGTCATTGTATCTACCCTCAATCAAGTCTTCTGTAAGGAATTCCTGGATAAATCTAATGAATATACCATAGACAGTCTGATGGAAGAAGAACACAAGTTCAGTGAATGGGAGTTCAAGTATTTTATATTCAGTTATTCTTTTAAATGCAGTACTAACTGAAATAACTCCACAGAAGCTGGTATCCTATCACCAAGTCACCCTTTATTTACACGTGGAGAGTCTTTGAAATTGATCCAGCTCCCTCAGAGCAAGCTGTCAGAGTGAACAGGATGTCTGACACTCCTGTTCTTATCTGTTAGCCAGGGCTCCCTTACTGGACCAGATTAACAGCCCCAATCAGGGAACTCATATTCTATGAGGTCCACCTGGCTGACCTCATTACAATCTCTACATCCCTTCCCCACTGAGTCCAAGGACATAGGCTGGTTTTTCTTTTTGTAGCTCCTCCTGGGGATTTTTAGCACTGGGTCAGATTCCTCCAACTCTGCCTCAGATACGGGCAGTGTGTAATGCACAGTAGCTTGACTCTTGCACCCGGAGGCTATTCATATACCTATTCAAATGTTTTTTAAACATTGCAATATACCCACATCCACCACTTCCTTAGGAAGTTGATTCCACACATGAACCACCCTCTATGTAAATAATTTGCCCCTCATTTCTTTTTTAAATCTCTCTCCTCTCACCTTAAAAATGTGCCCCCTAATCTTGAAATCTCCCATCCTAGGGAAGAGACAACTACTGTTATCTCTATCTATACCTCAGGTCACGAAGCTGTAGGCTGTTTCTTTACGCCTGCCTTTAAAGTTTGATGGACGATATTGAGCTGTCCTTATTTGTTGAAAACCATTTGACTTTAGAATACACTCAAATACCTTGCTGGAAAACCATGGTCCATTATCTGTGACCAACACTTCTGTGAGTTTGTGTATTGCAAAACATGCGCACGGTTTTTCTATCGTTATCTCCATGTTTGACAAATGAATTCTATGCATGTCCAATCATTTTGAGTGGGCATCCACAATGACTAAGAACATTGGGCTCACGAAAGCACCTGCATAGTCAATGTGTCACCAAGTCCAGGGTGTACCTGGCCATTCCCATGAATGTAGGGGATCTGCTGGCAGTAATTTTTATCTTTTGTTACCACTTTGGGCACTTCCCCATCAAGCAGGTATGTCTGCATGCAATCCCGGCCACCGGACGTAACTTCTTGCCAGCATCTTCCTTTTGGACACACCTGATGACCCTGGTAGAGTTCAGCCAGTATCTGGCTATGACCTTTGCTCAGAACAATCACCCTTGCTCACCATAATAATATGCCGTCCTCCACTGTGATCTGGTCTCTCTGGGTCCAAAATGGTGTGAGTTATTATTGTGACGCCCCTTTGGTTTCCTCCATCACCACCAGCTGTTTCAGTTTTGCCAGGACCAGATCTTTCTGCATCCAAAGTCTGATATTGTCAGCTGTGACTGAAAGTGTATCCAGGAATTGTTAAAACCATTATTGACTCTTCCAGTGGCAGTTCCACCGGTGCTTTATTTGCCAGCGGGAGGTGGCTCAATAATGCATCCATTTTTGCTACTTGGCCTCCCAGACAGTGTTCCAACTTGCAATTATACGCATTTATTATTAGAGACCACTGCTGAATTCAGCCTGATGCTATGGGTGGCACTGCTTTATCTTCTTTAAGTAGACGTAGGAGGGGTTTGTGGTCTGTTATTAATTACATCCATAAAGGCTTTGGTAGAACTTTCTGATTCCAAACATGACTGCCAAATCTTTTCCTTCTCTGTCTGGGCATATTTATGCGCTGCATTAGCCAAAGTTCTAGATGCATACACTATTGGGCCACCTATGAGCTAGTACTACCTCTGTGCCGTACAGGGAAACATCGCATGTCAATATCAGAACTCGCTGGGGATCATAGTGTGCCAACATTATAGAGGATAGTAGCTGTTTCTTCACTTTCCCAAAAATTATGGCTTTGCTACATGACCATTTCCAAGGCTGACCCTTTTTTAAGAGTTGATGCAAAGGTGCCGGGATGGATTCCAGGTTTTGTATGAATTTTCCATAATATTTCACCGGCCCATGGAAAGACCTACGCTCTAGTACAGATGTGGGAGCCGGGCACCTTTAATCACCCTCACTTTATCTTCCAACAGCAATAACCCAGTTTTTTTGATTTTGTAGCCCAAGTAAGTCACTTGGAGTGCCTGGAACATGCATTTTCCCCTTCTAAGACACACGCCCACCTGGGCGAAACATCTAAGGACTATGTCCAGTTTCTCTGGGTGCTTCTCATTGGTCTTCCCTGTTATTAGCATGTCGTCTAGATAAATGGTGACCTGGGGTATACCTTGTAAAATGTTCTCCACCATCCACAGAAAAATTGCGTAGGCTTATGATACTCCGAATGGCACTCTCGTAATTTGGTAAAAGCCCTTATGGGTGTTAATTGTAGCATACTTCTGGGAATCCTCATCTAACTGCAACTGCAAGTAGGCATGATTAATGTCCAGCTTTGTGAAGGACGGCCCCCCTGCCAGCTTTGTGCATAAATCCTCTATGTGCGGCATTGGATATTTTTCTAGCTGCAAAAAGCAGTTTACCATTTGTTGAAAATCCCCAAAAAAGCAAACTGACCTGTTGGGTTTCACAATTGGTACGACTGGTGCTGCTCATTCTGCAAACTGGACTCATTTGATGATTCCTTCACTTTCCAGCTTTTTGATTTCTACCTCTACTTTCGCCCATAAGGCAAATGGCACTCAGCGGGCTCTGCAGAATCATGGAATTGCCTCCTGGTCAACATACAAGGTGGCCTTGGATCCTTTAATAGTCCTTCCTGAAAAACCTTCGGGTATTTAATTAGGACTTCACACAGGCAGCCATTTTCTAATCAAAAAATGTTGAACCAATCAAGGTGAATCTTTCTCAACAAATTTCGCCCCATCAAGCTTGGGACTGATTCTTTTCCTACAATCACTGGTAACTGAACCAGCTACTTCTCATAAGAGACCAGAATTGAAGTTGTACCTTTATTCTACAACGGTTCCCCGGTATAAGTTCTCAGTCTAGCTGAGGTCTTGCGCAAATTTTGTTAAAGACTGGCTCTGCGATCACTGAAACGACTGTGCCAGTATTGTCATCCACTAGAAATGGGTGACCATTTAACCAGATGTTTGTTTTGATTGGTTCTGATTTGGATGTTTCTAAGCAATTTAAATGTTGCAAACTGGATGTAAGTGGACTTTCCAGGGTGTACATTCTCCCGGATCCTGGACTATGAGTTCTGTAACTCAGTTTAGGCCTAGTGGGACTCTTTTGCTGTCTCGAGTCTGCACGCTGACAGCAACTACAGTGGCTTACTGACCTGGATCCTGAAGAAAATTTTAACTATTTGGCCGAGGCTTGGCTTTGTTTTGGGATTTTGCCGTGGGCTGACCTAGAGTCCCTCTGTTCAGGATATGTCCAGAGTGAGGCCATGCAAT